TAAGTTGTCCAAAATTCTTTTTTAAAGAAGGAAAATAAAAGTTGGGTCAAAACCGAAGTCATGTTATCAATAATTCTCTTTGGAACCATATCTTTCATAGAAGAAAGAAAAACTTTAGTGGATCAACATACAAAATAGTAACTAATATCAATTGATCAAATTGTTTGTCAATTAAGTTCCCTTTGGCTTGCTTACTATATAATCCAGGTCATTTCTTGAAATCGGTTAAGCAATGACCACAGGTTTTGGATAATTTTGGCAAGTAATCTGGCTTTAATTAAAATTTCTTTACCATAACATCATATGACTTTAAAAAACTTTACCAATAATTTTCATATGAACCTCTATTGAATTTATTACTATAATTGCTATGTGTCTATTTTGTAATCTCCAGTCAGAATTAGAAACACTAGTTACTTATGCAGATGTTATTATTATTATTATATATTATTTATAACATACATACACAATTACAGTGCAATTTATAATGTCACATAATGGCTTTACAAAAGCTCATTCTCTAATATCATTGACATCATTTTCAGCATGACTCCAAAAAAAACCATGGTTTTAATTATTCATGCACCAGCAGATGCATGCTTCCTTAAACGTTTGGGATATGCTGGACTGATTGTGTGGCTCGAGTGAGCTGCATGGCTTTCCAGTTCCTTAATCGTTAACAAATAAAATATTCTTTAAAATCTATTTTTTTTATTATTCAACTTTTTGTACATCTTCCAAAATCGCGTTGATTTTATTTCAGCTGAAGGCGACTGGTTGTATTGGTACATTATCATTTTATCACCTGCTAACCGCATCATTTTTTAATGTTATACCATTTTTGATTACCTATAACAACAAACACATCATTTTTACATCACGCGACGCCAAAATTTTAATTATTTTTGGCCTAGCTCCTCCAATACATGTAATTCATTCAATTATGAGAAAAAAAAACCAATTTGATTTTTGATTTTTAATTGAAATTTTTAAAAAGTATATTTCAATTATTCTTCCTTATTTATATTGTTCCAAGCAAATAGATGTTGTGAAAGAGAATAATAGTCATTCACATTATTACAATGCGGAATGTGGATCTCATTTTTTGCTACTACGCTTCAAGTATGCAGCTGGTTTTTACGGCAGGTAAAATATACTAATACATACAACGTTTGTTTGTTTGTTTATTTATAGTATAGAGATAAAAAACGCCAAAAAAGAAATTCGTTGCAAGCAAGAAATAATAAAAACTATTACATTTTTTTCTATATTTGTCAATGAATTTAATTTTGGAAATAAGAATTAACGAAGGATTAATATTTTAAACATCTCAAACATAAAGAAATTTTACAAATCCCCACGGCATATTGGGCAGTCACCATCATAACTTCTCCCTCTACCTTTATGGGCACCATGATAAACTCTAGCGTGGTATTCAATTTCTTCCTTTGTGTTCCCATAAGTATTATATATATCACCCCCTATCTTTATTGCTCTACCAGTATTAATCAAAACTTTCGCACCATTAGTCATTTTTCGACCATTTCTAGCAATTTCTCGTGCTGCTAGATGACCAGCTGCTTTTGTTCCTGCGCCTATCAATCCACCAGTGAGACCATCGAAACCTACATCTCCAATAAAATCTCCCAATCCCTCGACAAATTCACAATCACAGTCTCTTCCTATTTCCTCTACCGCTTTACCGCCTAACCACACACCAGCTCCAATAACGGGAGCTGCCAAACCACCTGTGGAAATAATTGCTGTGGCTGCAGCACCCGTTGCCACTACTTTACCAGTGAACTTTGTTACTTCCCAAGTAGCACCACCAACAGCTTCAAAAACTTCACCAACATCATCCCAAAAGCCCATTTTTTGTTATTTTTATGAATCGTTAGCAAATGAGTTTTTGTGTAAAAATTTTAAATATTTATGAACGTATTTTTTTGTAGAGTAAGTTGGTAATGATGATTTATCGGCTGAAAAAAAACTTTATGGGAATAATAACTCGTATATATATATATATATTTCTTATATTTTTTCAATATAAATCAAATTTCACACGACACGCCATAATAACGATAGATTTAGAAGAAATTATCATATAATATATAGTTAAGTTGCTTTAAAAACTTAAATTTAACAATCAACAAAATTTAACTATTTAGGCATAGATAAATGACTCACAAGGATTTATTATTCTTTCTCATGTTAAATTTAAATGTAAACAACTTTTTCTTGAAAACAAAATTTGCAAACTGGCATTTTTAAATTCACGCGCGTGTGAATTTATTAAATTTAAAAATCGTGTGAATTTTGTGAATTTTGAGGTGTTTGGATACAAATTCTGATTGGCTAATTATATAATTAATATTAAAGGTGTGTGTGTGCATAGATAGACAAGAAAAAGGATACCCGAGCCTGTTTTTCTGTTTGCCAGTCTCAGGAAAAATTGCAATAGTGTATCCAACACCAAATTTTCAACCCGTTTAATACTGTTGAAATTAGTGCAAAAGAATTTTAAAACGAAAATAAAAAAAAAAGTGTAATTGGATTGGTATTAATGTGGAAAAAAGTCTCGACAATAGTTTCCCGCTTTTTTTTTTTAGAATTATTTCATCAGAGGTTGACACCGCAAAATGAACAAAAATTACTAGACGCTAAAATGTATTAGTAATTTTTTGCCTTTATCAAAATTATTGATTAAAGACAACTTGAAATACTTATCATCAAAACAATAACCATACAAAGTAAATTTGTGTAGTTTTTTTGATAATCAATTCCTTTTATTTGACCATCAAAAGTAATTTTGATAAATAATCAAAAAATAAATTGCAAAAAACAACGAATTTGCTTTGGTGGATTAGAAATCAAATCGGCAATCGCGGATGATGGTTTTTGCGAAAATTCACCGCAAAGTCAATTATGAATGAACAATTTTTGATAATATTTCTTTTTATGTCTAGTAGGATTATTGATAAGTAAATAATATATACAATTATGTATTATTATTTATGAAAAAAGTGTCTCTAGCTTTATTATTATTTAAAAAAAGTAATCACAGAAAAGTAAAGAAAATAAAAATAACAATAATAATACAACCAAAGGCAGACCCTTGTTATTAATTTCGCCGTTTATATATATATATTAATATATACTTGCGTGGGCCATTGGGGTGATCGTCTCAAGATTATGATGAGGAAAATTTTCAGATCTATAATTTTATTAATGAAAAATAGAAATCTATCTAGTCCACCAATTTTTTAGCCACAGTCATCAAACGAAAACCTGGGATATAATTAGGTTTAGATTTTTCATTCTCGTTTAATTATTTTATTTTAAACCATTTTTTTTTTTAATGTAGTTCTTATAGCAAATAAAATATCAAAAAGTGGGCCTATTTTTTAAAAATATACAAATTTCAATAGAGATTTATAGAATTTGAATTTTGGACTATAATTTTGATTTACATAGTTGACCATGTGCCATCTTAAATTGCCCATTAGCGCGAAAATAAACAGAATCATAGTTACATTATCAATCTTCTCAAGTATTACTTTTCTCATGTCTAAAGGTCCCCACCCGGAAGTGGAATTTCTTCCAAAGTTTGAATTCTTTTTACAAACGTTGTGAAAATTTGGAGAACCAAATTTTTTTCATTGGTTTTGTTTATTTTGTATTTTTGGTGATTTATCTTTGCATTTAATCGAATTAACGAAAATAAAGGAAAAAAAAAAAACTTGCTCGAACAAGAATGCAATTTTACTGTTTTCATAAATTATCTTTGTATCAAACTTGATTATCACAAAAAAAAACTAAATCAATTGCTCACAAATCTAAATTAACTTTGTTTGTTGGTAATCGGGTTCTACTATCACACATGAAATATACATGGGGGTGGTCCAGACCTAATGTCCAGGAAAACCTCATAACTGCTTTCCATATTCTATATAATTTTTTATTAAACTATTACTTGATGTATTGATGTTATCTATACTGTGATTACTAGTATTATTTTACTATTAATATTACAATCAAACCCTCGTTTCAACGAATTTCATATCTAAATCTTGTTGGACAATTTATTGGTAGGATTTTAATAGTAGGTACTAGTCACGTTACAACTAATTCCCATTTTATCCAAATTTCCAAATAAATAATAAAGAGGTGAAAGCCAAAATGACAACAATAAAATCAAACATTTTATCCGAATAATAAAAAAGATGAAGGCGAACAATAATAATAAAATTGTTTAATTAAAAAAGATAACATTATCAATTACCAAAAAACTGTATAAAATAAAAATGAAATTTTCTTTTGTCAAATTCTTACAATCCTACACAATTAAAATTTTTTACAATTAAAATCTTTGAAAATGTCTCAACAACAATCATCATCATCATCCATTAAAAACTGTGTATATATCCATCCGTCAAATATTCATGATGGTTATAATTATTATTCAATACATTTGATATCGTTGACATAACAAAGCAATTGCATCACCCGGGTAGTGATAATACCAAGGCCATTCATAAATGAAACTCTTAACAATGTGCGTCTACCCAGATCTCTGGGATTCACAAGGATAAATGAATAGGGAGGAACAAAAAAATCATTTTTCCTGATTATCAATTATGGTTCCTTATGAATAATAAATCTGATGCTGATTGCAGACATCAGATTTAATTAAAATTTCCTGTCCCAAACATGCAATAACCATGCTTTCACATGCCTCATATCTGTGGATTTTTTTCCACAGGTGAGCCGTACACATGTTGGAAGGCTTTGGACAAAACTTTCCTTCATCTTCCTCTCAGACCAGGATTGGCTGTTGCCACATGATTGATTGCTGATAAAGATCGGCATTTGTGTGATGCTGTTGTTTATTGATGGTAAGAGGGCACACGATGCAGAACTTGTTATTAATATTACTATTACAATAATAATTTTTATTCGAATAATTCGAATAAAACGAATAAATGAATAATTCGAACAAAATGAATAAAACGGGTAATTCGAATAAAACGAATTCGATTGATCTGTATTGGTATTAGTATTACGAGTACGAGTAATTGAGTAATTCGAATTAAGATTGATTTGTATTACTATTACTATTATTACTATTACTATTACTATTACTATTCCTATTACGAGTAATTCGAGTAATTCGAATTAAGATTGATTTATATTAATATTGGTAACTATTATTAGCATTACGAATAGAAAGACCCGAATATTATTTTTTAAACGGCTGATTGATTTTCTTTCACTAGGTCAAAAGGCGACGTTAATCTTTTCTTTTAAAATTAATTTATAAATAATAAAATAATTCTAATATAAAAAAACTCATAAAACGAGAGAGGTTAGGTCACATCCGAAACACCATTGGACGGCACTTTGATAAATGTGTTTTATTTTTTATTGTTATTATCATGTACGTTTTTGAATGATAAGTTTAATAAAGACGTTAGAGGAATGAAAATTTACATGCATAATTGTTTTTTGTGTGAAGCTACTTCATTTTAAAAATTCCTAATGTGAAATTCACATCATGTAGTAGCTATTTAATAATTGAAATATCCTTTATTGTTAACTCTTTTAAAAAAGCAATATATAAAAGAAACATTTTTTTACAAAAAACATAAAAATCAAATAAAATTACTTTTCAAATTTTCCTTCTTTTCAAAAATTATATTATAAAAAATGCCAAATTTCAAAAATCAAATCTTTCTTATTTCTATTCTTTTCATTTTTGTTGTTACTATGCAAGTAAATGCGGATTCATTTGGGTACAATTGCTGTCGGTCTGCATGTAACGCGGCGTGGGTAGGCTGTTATGCAGTAGCTGGTTTTGCGGCTGGTAAATATGCATTACTTCTAATATTTATTACTTCTGTTTATTTATTATAATAATTATTATTATATAGGTGCAATAACAGGGATGTCTATACCAGGTTTAGCCATTACGGTGCTTGGCTGTAATGCAGGAAAAGGCGGATGTATGACTGCTTGTTCCATGAAGTTTTAAATTATTTTGTTTTATAATTATTCGATAAGTTGGAAGCAGAAATCACCTAATACTAATAATATAAATAAATGACTGTATTTTTATATAATTATTTTTATAATCTTTTTTTTTAATTATTTTTATTTTTTTTTTTTTTTTTTTAATAATTTCATTTTAATTATTTTCATAATCATTGTTTTTTTTTAATTATTTTTATTTTTATTTTTATAATCATTTTTTATAATTATTTTTATTTTTATAATCATTTTCTATAATTATTTAATTATTTTTATTTTTTATTTTATATTTTTATCAATAATTTTCATTAACTGTAATGAATTGATCTGAGGAACCTTTGATTTTAAAGTGATTTAATACAGTCAACCCTTGTTTCAACGAATTTTTGATAGGGATTTAGAGTATAAGAATTAAATATAATCATGTTTCAATGAATTCACATGACAATAGATCGAATTCTAAATAAAATTAAATTATATAGTTGGCTTGGTGGTCTAAAAACCTCCTAAAATTTTAAAAGTATTGAAGTCATTTTCTGTCCCACCTTTTAAAAATAGCTCTATTAGTTGATAAAATAGGTCTTTAGCATTAATGTAATAGGGGGATTTTCTCAAAAAAATAAAATATATATTTGTTGAGAGTTCTATTCTTTTTTAAAACATGTTCATGAGGAATTTGAACGCTATGATCATTGCCAAATTTAGACTAGTTTTAGAGAATCAGTACTAAATTTAGACTAATACTCGACAATCATATCTAAATTTGGTAGTGAGGAAATTTTTAATTGAAGACCTTTTGAAATTGAGCACATGGCACAGAAATAGACCAAGCCAACCATATATATGATAAAAAATCAAATCATATGATATTTAAACCAGACCAGGGATCAAACTTTAGTCATTTGTAATGTGATTATAATTAACAGTTTTATAATATCTCATTTGTTATCTTAAGTGATATATATAATATCCTATATAAAAATATGAAGTTAATTTACATCAGATCTATGGAACCCAAACAAAGAGAAAAATTGCTCATAATATTTTCAAAATAAATGATACTCAGACACTAAAAACTTATCTAAGAAAAGAAATGATTTATTTTGATAAATTTCATGAAATAATAAATGAAATAAATGATTACATTGGTAAATTATTTTGATGTAACATTGCATAAACTTATGGCACCAATATAAGTATTACATTTTTTATTATTAAACTTACAGTTTTGACATGTGTGAAATTTTTATAATTTCTTAATATATTTAGAAAGGAAAATGAAGAAAAGATTTTGATTAAATAAGGAATTAATTAAAATGGATATTATATTAACAGAAAAATATTATGTAAAAATTGCAGAGAAAAATTTAGTGAATATTTGATAAATACCATTTACATCAGTAAAATTCTTGGAATGAAAATTTAACATTTGTAAATTTACAAGTCAGAAAATTCAAATAGGGTGGGTGTGCAAACAAAAAGGGAGTGAAAAGTTTGTATTTTTAAAAAAAAAAGATTAGAATAAAGTGCATAAAAATAAAAAGGAGAATATGAAAAAAAAATTGAAATAATATACAAATTTACCTTTATTATCTTTTAAACATTGTTCCAATATAACTTCATTTTTGTACGACTAAATTAATATTAGATATTACTACTGTTAATATTTATAATTATAATATTCTCAATATAATCACAAATATACCAACTGAATAAATAATTACTCCAATAACAGCTCGATGATATTTCGAGTGTAAAGCATCATCTTCTGATATTCCTCTACTATAACACATTTTACATTCAGGGCAAGTGTAGAAACTAAAATTTTTTTGTCCAAGTTCAAGAAATAATTGTTCGCCACTATGTTTCTTTTGTTTTATTGAGGTCATGGATTTGTCAGTAGTAGTTGTAGAGGAAAAAGAAGTTTTGAAATGTGGAATTATATATTTATTTTGTCGGCTATAATTACTACTACTATTACAACTATTATTAATGGTGTTATTATGAATTAATAACAAAGGTTTAAAAAAGTCTTTAATTGACTTTTGATTAGAGTTCAAAGCATTTGTTGCAGTTTGATCGATGAAACTTTTATTGATAAAACTATTTTCATTGTTGAAATTCTCCTTTGTAATCAATGAAGCCGTTTGTATCGAGTCTTTAATGAAATGTTGTTCTGAAATTAATGATTTGCTTTAAAGTATCCAATAGTCATATATACATTTGATTTAGTAAATAATTAGATAAAACAAAGACGATGTATGTTTATGTACCTTGATTCTATGAGCTTTTGTTTACCGTAGGTTACTTTGACTTTAGGCTTATTACTATTGAATTGATATATTGAAAGATAACGACGCATAAATAAAACTAAAACAATAATTACAAATCACAAGATGAGTAAATTCATTTATAAATACTTTGAATGTAAAGGCTCTTCAGATCTCATTTTCTTATTTGGAAAATAATTCATTGCAACGCGATTTTGAAGATCATATTACTATTTGCTATTTCGTGTTTTATCTGGTTTTTTGTGCCCCAAAATTACCAACTTTACCCCCCTAATTTTCCATTGTTTTTTACAATAGGAAAGATTTCTGGCAAAAAAATTTTTATTTATAAGTTTTGTTTCTAATTAGATTTATTCCAGATAATATATGCTCTTTTACTTGGTGGACTTTTCAAAAATGCTCGCATCAAGTTTCTGCATCTAATGAATTTCTCATCTTATTTTTAATCATATTTTGATGAGAAAATCCTCTTTCACAATCTACAAGTGAAAAAGGAATAATATACTATTTAATCAATTTAATTAAGGGTAGAGTATACATAACGCAAATTTTACTATGATACAATAATTTTTTGGCTGCCAATCATTAAAAATATTTAGTGTGTATACCATATTGTATATACAGTATATATGAATCATTGAGAAAATAAATTTGAATTTTCTTATATCTATAATAAATAGTTAGTTGTTAATGAATTATGTTTTTAACAAATAGAGTTATTAATAAATGAATATATATATATATATATATATATATAATTTTCTTACAGCTTATTATTGACAATTTGTTGTAAATAGTTTTGTGATCCTTTATTCTATCTCATTTAATATGTTTCATCTGATATGTTTTTCACATTTTTTCAACCAATATCTTTTTTAAAATAGAGCATGCAGTATTCCGCCTTTGTTAAGGACATTCAATGGCAGCTATTACTATTATTGGTTTTATCATAAAGTAAAAAAGTGAAAAGTGAACCTAAAACTATACTTGAAAATGAAAATTTCTTCAACTAATAACTTCTTATATCTTATAAACTTCGTAGTGATCCTCAGAGTATATATTTAGAGGAATTTATTTCAACTATTATGGGAGTTTTTTAAAATAAAAAAAATTTTTAACATGGAAATATCACATTAACTTGTTTGTAACATATATGAATTGATCAACATGGAGGTTCTAATTTTTTCCAAAATTGATTTCCCAATTTGGAAAAAACCCTGACTGTATAGTATTATACATATATTACTGATCTGCCCATCTCTATGCCCATCCAATGGTAAAGAAACTGAGTCAGAGAGCAATAAATGAAAGAAATAAATTCAATGATTGGTAATTTGATCATAGAAGAAACTTATACTTTTTGACCTCATTTTTCTCCCTTTGATGTTTTTAGTATAGAATGCATAAAGCTGAGTTAAAATATACTTTGCTGTTTTAATAAAATTTTGCCCACATTGGACTTTCAATTTCTAATTTTGTACACAAATATGGTGTTAGGTGTATAATCAAAAACAAATGTTCCTGGTTCTTCGTGTCTACAGATTCATGAGTTCCAACCCACTGAAAATAAAAATAATACTATTCTTGTTGTTTGTATTGTATTTGCCATTGTCATTGTATGTATTTAATGAATTTTGAAATAAATTCTCTGGAAATTGAAATTGAATTAACTCTCTGCTCTGTCATTACTCTCTGTTGTTTCTATATTGCTCTGGTTCTTCTCAATTATTTATTATTTTAATTGTCTTATTATACATGCAGCCCAAATTGGTTTGGTGATTTCAATAGTCAAAATTATTCCAATTTTGATGGTAGAAAGTAGAAATTAATTATGCCACTCATTATTAAAAATATAAGTGTAACACCCCTTTATGGGATGTGTAACCCACTTTATGACAGTGTCAAAATACTTTGGGCTGCATGTATAGTTTTAATATCCTAAAAACCAATTATATTTACCTAATCATTCCAATTCTGACTCTGATCTAGAACACTCTGTAATAATGTTTTCATATGATCAATCAAGTCATGCTGAAAAAAAGTAAATAAAAATAATAAGAATTATTATTATTATCATGATTATTATTAAAAATCTTATATTTATTAAAAATTTTGTTATATTTATTAAAGATCTTTCAAATTCTTGAGATAATTAAATGCATCAGAATTAAACGAAAAAAGATTAAAACATGGTAAAATATTTTTGTATGTTTACAATAAAAGAAAAATCATTGGATGTGTCATTACCGAGGTTATCAAGAAAGCATGGTTGATAATAATGATGATGATGGAGATGATGGTAACACTAAGGTTAAAAAACAAATTGGATCTACGGTTATGTGCAGGTATATATTTCTAATAATTCTCATAACAATTCTATAATAGTAATAAAATCATTATCGTAGTGTTGATCCTCCGGTACAAGCAGTTTGTGGAATCAACCGATTATGGGGTATGTGAAAAATTCAGAAGAAAAGGAATTGCGACAAAATTAATAAATCATGTCAGGTAATAATTATATATTATAAAAAATATTTAATATATATAATATTAATATTAATATCAATTATGTATAGATCACAATTCATTTTTGGATATACTCTTAAACCAAATGAATTGGCATTTTCTCAACCAACTAGCAATGGCAAGGCTTTTGCTATTCGATACACCGGAACTACTGAGTTTCTAATATATCCTGATGAATAATTGATTGCTTGATGAATGTATTCGGATTCCAACGATGAATAATTACTTTGTTAATTTTTTTTATAAAATTTCAAAAAAAAATTAAATTTTAAATAGATGGGTATATATGAATATATATAGCACATCTAAATATCTAAATATTAGTTGTTACTAACAAGAACAGGATCAACTTGACTTTTTGAAATGATGATATTTTCTCTGTGTTTGTTTTAAACAATATGTATTCTTAATTGGTAATCGTAATCCATCCATTCTTATATTTATTTAATCACCAATAGTAATTGGTAATATACTTGTGTTCCGCAAATATTGTATTTCCATCCTTTATGATATTTATGATATTTAATTAATCATTATTGACACGTACAGATTTCTATATATATACCGTCTAACTCCTTGATCTTATAATAATTTTGAATTCTATTTTAGATATGTGATTCACTTATGTGACAATATTATAACTTATTCGTCTGCTGCCACTACTATTATATTAAAATTAAAAATCATTCATTTTTCTCCTATAACAGGTAATACCTAAACCACAAGTAAAATAATAAGATTCTTAATAAAGAAAAAAATGATGTTTCTTAACGGAGTTGAAGTGTTTTCAAAATGATTTTTTACGTATTTTGGTATTACATGATTGATAATTGATTATATATGCATATAGTTCATTCTCTCCGTAACGTCCCACTTATTATTATGACATCTGAGAAAGATGAAAAAAGCCATTCATTTGGAAGAAATCAAGGCATAGTGTTTTCCACATTACATTTTTTATGGTAATTCCTGACAGCATGTTACAAATGTTAATATTAATATCTTTTCGATGGATCTTTCAGACACTCAATCAATAAATCCTATTAATTGTGAACCATAGGATGGATAAAGAATGTTAATAAAGATAAACAAATAGTGTTCATAAATGGTTTGAAAATGCCTTGCAGTTATCAAAGGATGATTATAAGGTTTTGAGTGTGTATTCTGATGTTAACAAGAAATAGACAATACATAAAGCACATGCTACCTTGACCGATGGGTGTGATGTATCAGTTGGACAGTACGGATTTTATGGATAATGTTAAGAGTCATTTAACAGGAAGATTTGGTCAAAATTAAGCTGTTCGAGAGATAATGTATGACAAAATGAAGAAATCGGAGGCAGCTTGGAGATGATTAATATTTCAATTGATCAAAGTAAATCATAAATTAAATCAAATGCAACAAACTAATCGGCATAACTATTCCATTAAATGCCTCTTTTTAAACTGTATAGTAACCAAACTATTAATTTAATTAAAAAAAGCTACAAAGTAGTTCTAGCGAACATAAATAAGTAATCTATTTTTTAGATGGTAATTGTGACTGCTCTTCAAAAATTCAAAAAAAAGTGAATCCTTTCAAACCCTTTCCAAGTCAGAGCAAGATATCCTTTGACGTCTAACTTAAAGCAATGGGTGATGGAGTAATAAGTATGAACAGAATCCAGAACCTTCTACAACTGCGATCATAATACGACTTTCTGTCAAAAAACTTATTCCAATATGCTTAGAATTATTAGGTTTATATCAAAAGTCTATCGCAATATTAAAAGAATGCCTCAATGGAAAACAAAAATGGCGAATTTCCTTGAAAATTATGGTTACCAAACCCAGGGAGAAATGTAAATCAATCAACCCTATACTTATATCCTTACCAGAAGAAATAGTTGTAAATTTGTTCATCGAAGGTGCCTCGGAGAAGACAGTATACTGAAATCATTAAAAGGTGATACTTTTTACAATAACTAATTCCTTAGATCTAAATTATGAGCCTAAAAATAGATTTATGTGATACCTGTCAACATTTTCATTTCACAATATATACTTAGAAGACATAAAAATCATCTGTCAAAAGCAAAATTTGAAAGAAATTATTATGGCAAAAGTACAAAAACGACAGGGAAGCAACAAAAAGGTAATGATCAGAATTATTTATTCATTGATGAAAAATATTCCGATTTTAATGCTATTGCTCGCTATAGCTATGATTGAGCATAAAGTATGCATTTAGCGCATCCTGATCAACAGGCAGTATATTATCTTTGGCATCCAATATGGAAGCCCTAATGGCACACTTAGTACGTTTTTCAATAGGATTAATTGAATGAAGGTGAAAAGCATTTGAAGACGATGCTAGTAAAAATAAATTTTTATTTGTATTTGTTATTATATTATGAATATGAAAGTATATCAAATTCAAATGTGATGGTAGCTTTGGATTAATCAAGAAACTATCGAAAAACAAGTGTAGATCATATGAATCATATTGTGGATGTTGTAAGAAAATCCAATACTATAGGATATCTAATAATTGAAACTAGGAAATTTGAAATTTCCAGAAATTAAAGTTATATTAATATCATTCCAATATTGACACCTACTGTTATGGATCATATTCATCCATTTGTAAAGATGAATTCACTCGTCCAAAACCAGCATAAAAAACTTAAGATGACCTGTGGATTCTAATTTATTATTCCTTCTTTGTTTTTTTTTTAGGCTCACGATTTTGTGTTAATACCCTTTTATTTTCCCTTCTTGGTAAATTTCATATGTAATTTTCTCTTAGATGCTTGAGTATCAGTTAATTTACATAAGATCTGATCTTCTTTCCTTGTTCCTTTCTCAAGATGCTTGTACCTCTTGGGTTCCATTATGGGACTTATATAATTAGTTTTTATATAGAAATAATCTCATTTTCTAAGAAATTAAAATAATCATTCAAAAAAATATCCGCAACTGCAATTTTTATTGGTGGGTTAAGTATATTTAGAAATCAATTTGGTGATTGCGGATATTTTTTGCGGATAACTACATAGTAGCTTTTAAAAATATTTCTACATGTACATGTACATTTCTCAAACAATATTTGCATAAAAATTTTAGCATGAGAGGAAAACAAACCTGTGGTCCTTGCCCAGAACAAGTTAAGGATAGCAAAAAGTTAGTGGGTACCTCTCAAAGAATCTCCTGCCACAATAATTTGTACGGATAAGTACCTGATTAACAAGACGAGATTATCTAATGGTCAAAATTTTAATTGGCTGAAGATTTGAAAAAATTATTAAAAGGCATCAACATTCAACAGCCCGTCTATGGCCTCCCTTCGCTTACTTTCAAAGAAAAGCAATAATCTAGTAAAGTCTAGCAGTCTTTTAGTCATCTATAAATAACCTATGAGATGTTACGCTGATCTAGTGATGCTATCCCATGAAAAGGTTATCAACCCTACCAAAAAGCAGATAGGTTTGGTTCTTACTAATAATCAAATGAAAAAAAAACACTAAAAATAATCACAATATAGAAAGAGGCATTGAAAACCGTTAATATCACAATCACGTTATAGTTTTTTATCAGTTCCATTACAATTAATGATACAATATTTTTATCACATGAATAGTGATAATCTCGAATTATTATATTTATGTGTGATAAATTCTTCCAAAAAAAATTTTCCCACAAATTTTATTATAAATACTATATAAATAAATATTCTAAATCAAGGAAATTTATTTTAAATTTTTTTATTTTTTCCTATTAAAAAAAAAAAAATAAAATGACAACTGAAGTTGCAGAAGAGAAGAAAACCACCGCTGCCGCTACCACTAACCCTACTGCTTCCTCACGTAAAAGAAAGTCGAACACTGAGGAACAATCTGGTGCTGTTGAACGTAAAATAAACCCAAAACGTGCTGCTAAAACTAAAACTGAAGTAGCAAAAGCTGAAGCTGAAGCTGCTGCTTCTACTACCTCTTCTTCCTCGGCCGTTTCTAAAGGTTCTAGAAGTAAAAAGACAAAAGCTGAGGTATATCTTTATAAAGTATATTATAAATATTTTTTAATAATATTAAATATTAAATTATTAATTTATGAACTTGTTATATTTAGAAAAATGAACAATCTAGTAATCTTCCTACCTCAAAAAGCTTTTTATCTAGTGCTAAAGACCTTAAATTGATTATTTCTAAATCTAATTTAAAAAAGGATGAAGATAAACAAAATGAAAGTGAAAAAAAAGAAGATAATAAAGAAGAATCAACAAAAAATGGTGAAGTCTTATCATCATCATCGCCACCGCAACCACCACAACCACAACCTTCATCTTCTTCTTCAAATGATGAAATCTTGTACACCATTGATGCAAAACCTCAGAAACTTTCTTCCGGCTATGGATGGACAGCATCTCTTCCAAATAGCAGAATCAAAGTTGAAATTAATGGCGAGGAGGTTGAATTGCCTGTAACAATTAATTTCAACGTTTCAGTTCAAGGCTCTAAGAAATAATCGTATAAAAATATGTATGTTTGTACTGCTTGAATGAAAAATATGGGATAAAAAGATATAAGTATTAATCTACTAATCGAATCTTTGTAAAGTTTGAATTAGGGAAAGATGGAAGATGGTCAGGAGAATAATTTTTTTGTATATGTATATATATATATATGTATATATGTATATGTATATAGATATTTCTTATATTCTGTCTAAATTTTCTTTTATAATTTTTAAATTTATAATTTTATAATGTTTTAAATCTTATCTTTTATCTTAAAAAAGTTTATTTTTTATTTTTTTTTTATTCTGGTTTTTTGAAATAAAATAAAACTATTCTACACATAAATAATGAATTTATGATACATGAATTTTTTATTAATTAAAAATGTCCAAATTCTCAACATTATGTATAATATATGCATAAATGTGTGCAAGTCTTTAGATTTTTATTTTATATGGGCATACATACTGCAACAAAACCATGACAAAGTAAACATTAGATTTCAGGGGTTGAAGTATCACATGATTGAATCAACACCCTCGCTGCTCCAACTTGATTCTTATTATATTACATACATCATAAAGACAAACGTTGTTTGTGATAAATAGTAAACAAGAGTCTCATAATAAATCTTTTTTCTTTTGTTTTAGAGACAATTCAAACAAACATTACAACAAACTCTGACAAATCAATCGTTTAATGGACCATAACATGACATGTATTTGATAGTTTATTATAAAAAATCATTAATCCACTTTGCTTTCATGTAAAAAATCAACTACAAATCTTTCAATAATCATTGTTGAACACATTATATAAAATATTTTTCATCAATAACATTTAACAAAAATACTTTTACAAGTGAATTCTTTCGTGTGCTGTTAAATATGCTTTTTTTGGCTTTATAATCTTACACGAACTAGCTCTATAACATAAACCAAAAAATCAATGAAATAATTAATACAATAGAAAAACTAAAATAAACATAAAGCAAGTAATCTAATTGATGAAAAATACTTGAAAGATATTAATAAATTTTAAATACCTAATTGAAAAAATTGAGCAGGATTTTGATTTTTCATTTAATAAATGGAAACTGAAATCCACAAGTTAGGTGAAGAGAAGAAGTTTGATTCCACCATAGAAACTTCTGCTGATCCTAGAAGAAAAAATAATAGAAGCAATTTAGAATGGATTAACACATAGAAGAATAAAGTGAAGATGATGATGAAGGAGAAAATAATATTATTAGCAAAAAGTAAAGTGAAAGTATAATATAGATTTGCGTCGGAGTGACCGAAAAATAGGTAAAACTCATAAATAGGTTTGGATTCAAGTATTTTTCCTCCTTGTAGTTGCTTTAGTGATTTTTTTGTTCTTATATTGTTATATACAAATTATATATTTTTCTATGTATCAGTCGAGTCAAAATAATAAACATGACTTATCTCTTTTAAACCTTTCCTTGTATGTTACATACATTGTTTCCATATTGTATATATCCATTACAATGTTTATGTATGATAGTGCATTTGATGTTATTATAAATATTAAAATAATAAAATTGTAAATATTAATTATCTCTTAAAGAAAAGAATAATAAAAAAAGGATGATAATAATAAGACTCACATTATTGATAAAACTCATATTTGATGCACTACTCCGGCAACGAAATAAATCAAATCTGCAGCAGTTACACAAATAATCCGAATAATTAGAAGATTTATCTATATCTTCGAGTCAGGAAGTTAGGATAATATGGACAAGTCAACGACTCCTACCTATAATCATTTTGCTAATTTTCATCGACAAAGAATGATTTTGATCTTGGAGATTCTCAATGTATTCCTGTTATAAATAAACTAAATTTCATTATTGAATTTATATCTATTAAGAATAAAAAAATTATAATGAATTAATTTATTATCTTACTTGCTACGTAATGACTAATTTACTTGCGTATGGATGTCTCACACATAGGAGAAACAATTAAAATCTCCTTTGATGAAATCAAGGAACCAAATAATGACGGGAAGCTTGTTAAATGATAATCACTTAATGCAAATTTAGATCTTAGTGTCAAAAATCATCATGACATATAAGATATAATTCAAAAAAAGAAAAAAGAACATCGAGGTAAAAATATTCTTATTTTTTTGTCAAATTTGACAATGATCCATCTATCTATTATATAAATAACAACAAATTAAATTAAATTAAATGAAGTAATCAAGATTTCAATCAATTTCTAACCTGATCATTTTTAATTTTTGTAATTAACCACAACTACAAAGATTGTCAAAGATTGACTCATTTATTTTGTGGCTATCTTCTTACTGCTAAAGATTCTCATAATAATCATTTGGACAAACTGCCTAAACACAAGAGAAGCTTTAATAGGCTCTTCAATGAATGAAGAAAACCCAATAAATTCAAAGTCCCTCGACCCTGCGATTGCATTATATCCTTCAAGCCCGATGATCGGATTAGCTTCTTTCTTACGAGTCATCGATTAAAATATTTGAAGATACCATAAATAAAATAAAAATAACAAGTGCTAACAACAAAAAATTTATCCAATTTTAACAATTATCTAAAAGTAAAAATTTTAATTATTAATTAGCTAATTTGAAAGGCCACCTTTTCACATCCATTCCCTATTTAACTTTGTGTTGCTAAATTGTTAATTCTTTCTGATCCCTTCAAAAAAATCCAGTGATGAATATGGTGAATAATGAATAATTTGGAAATTGGCTTTTTGAATTATCTTGAGATACTCATCTGCAAGGTAACAATTTCCCTTCCCTGCTTGAAACGATCTAACTAAAAAAATTTTGATTGATGCATAAGAAACGTGTCTACATAAAAAATTTCAGGGTATTAAATTTTAAACACCTTATTGTGTGCAGGGATCATCAGATCGCCTGACCTGATACAAGGGTTCTCCAAAAAAACGACAGTGAGAAAAACAATTATTCAAACGTCATGAGTTGAGTATATTTTAATGTTTGCAATCACATGCATATTTGTAAGGATAATTAGTCAGAGAATAGTAGCTAAATTACTTAAATATTTTTATACTGTTGACTAGCTTGTGTTTTTTTTTTCCATTTATAATTTAAATTTAGAAATTGTTCTCGATCCTTTACTAAATCTGACCCAAATCCACCCAAGAAAGATTTCCTGATGAAATCACGAAATGGATTAGATTTTTTTTTACGACGAAGTATAAGCTTAACAATCTGAAAGTATTGATAGGAATACAAGAAGCCAGCCCTGTAGTTACTAGTGAAGAAGTATTTGATCAGCAATAAAAACCAATATCAACAATACACTAACCACTGGGCAAATCTATTCTTTCCTTGGGTAGTTTTTCTTTAAAAGATGTAAACGAACAACCAAATTTTACTATATTTGATAAATGAAACGAGCACGTTATTGGCTATTTTGGAATGCAGAACAAATGGGTTTGGAAGTATCTGCAAGTGAATATATTGTCATGCTTTATAATCAATGGAAATGGAGGCAGAGAGCCACCACTGCCAACACCACCTATGAACCAACCTACAAATATCCATTTTTGGAACCGCCACTCGGAAGAAAAAGGAAATATTATGTTTCTTCTAAAAATGTTACAACATACGAATCTGTTAACCAAACTTATGGTTATATGTGTGCTAACAAGCTTGAATAAGGGTTCCCCATTAACTACTCTCATTCATGTTAACAATTGTTGTATATTATATGTGACATAATAATTTTTTCAAAATAGGTATTAATATGGTGTTTTAATCAAACTTGGTGGTATATGTAATAGGGAAATGTCATTATGCGTGAAAATTAAGTTAGCCAATCAGGAACCTCGCGCCTCCATATTTAATTATAGATCTCAATTAATTTCACATAATTTCAATTTCACATACAACATCAAATGCTGTTATCGTTATAAATTCATCGTCATCACTGATTTCTCACAATAGGAATTTTCATCACAACATTATGATCATCACCATAGGAAGGAAGATCTTGTTGTTGATGATGTTGATGTAAATCCAGATGTAGATGTAGATGATGTGTAGAATCAATATTTGATTAGATTTAATTTTTTGGGAAGTTCTATTCTTAAAGGATCAAAATAGAATTTTGATTAAATAAAAAACCACACCACGATAGATCAAAATTTGAAAGGCTATGCTTTAAAAATGTGTTACAGATTCATGGGAATATGTTGCCCTCTTTTTTTTTTGTATTTTGGTGTGTTCCAAATTGGTTCTTTAAAAAGACTTTGCGTTACATACGTTACATATGTGCTGAAAAAAATTTCCTTTTGTTGAAGATTTGGAATGTGAATAAAGGGAATCAGATTATCTTTGGAAAAGATGTTCACATTTCCAAATCTTCAACAAAAATTTCAGCACATATTAATATTAATATCAATATGACAGACCATCCCATAATTGTACCTTTTTTAATTCATCTGCTATACTCTTTTGCGGTTTTTCTATTTATTCATCGTTACAATTCCAGATAATATTGATCCGTGACCAATAAAAGATCTCGTTTCGAGAAACTTGCTAATAATGTATATATTTTTTTGATTCGTCATTAAATAAAAAATGAATTCATTGTGTACATAATAAACAAGTAATCAAGATTCAATTTTTAAATACCTTTTTCGATTAATCATTTCATGTCAATTAATCCTTCATTGATTACAGTTTTTTCGATGTATAAAGAACATTGGATGGTGTTCTTTTTAAATAAATTATTTGCGTGTGTTGAAGAAGCGACTCATTAATCTTTTCTAGTTTTTTATAATGAAATCCAAAATATTATCATGAGAAATCATTCACGCAATATGTTTATAATTTATATATTGTATATTTATAAATTGTTATTACCTTATTTCCAATATCAAGTATATTGTCATAAAATCTTTTAATAAGAGTATTATGACTTTGAAAAAAATCTATTTTATTTTTTGCACAACAAGCATAGAAAAATGTAATAGACTAAATTCTTTTTTCTCTTTTAAACAAATTTGATGGTGTAACTTTGATAAGTCAACGGTATTCTGATAAGTTATAGTAGACCCAGGATCTTTAGGGAAGGTGATGATGATGATATTTCTATTATTTCTTTGACTCCATAATATGCAACCAATGACTTTAAATTTTGAACGAATGAATAAATAAAAGATGAACGCGGATCAATGTCAAAAATGACGGTTATCTGCATTACCAATCACCTGGTTTTTAAAATTTAGTTAGTTTAATAAGCAAGGCACCATTCTTTTCACGCACGCACTGTGTAGCAAAATTATTAAAAATGGCAACTTTATGGAATGACACAGATGATACTAGTATGCGTAATCCTACCTATAATACCCAGGAGACTTCTACCACTTCTCTTATCTCTAATGACCAGAAGACTGACAAACTAAAAATGTACCGTTATTATTGGTGGAAAACTGGTAACATGCATTCAAAGGCCAAATGGGAAGAAGCAACGTAAGTCACTTTGACAACTGGCTATTTTATGAATTAATTGCTAATATAAGTTGTTATTTATTATCAAGTTTACCATACGAGCTTGCTACTGATATCACCTATGATACTTATGTTGAACAAACGGGTAAACACAATATTCGTGGCTTTTGGGAATGGGAAAACGAGACAGTTCGTGTAATTGAACCTCCCTCAGAATTTCATGAATCCTGTGTCTGTGCTATCGCCAGCGAAATTAATGAGGCAACTTTTGTCATGAAGGGCACTAATACAGCTATTCTTTCTTTAGGAGCTACAAGTGAGCATTTGCTGGTTTTTTTAATTTCCAATATTTTTCCATTACTAATTAACTTTGATGAAAAGCAACAAGATCACATGGAGTAGCTAAAGAAGCGGATGCATCTACACCACTTGCAAAAACCTCATGTGAATAGAGACGGATCTGATGGAAAAGTATGAAGAATTGACTTTGATAATTTCATGATTTGATTGCTTTAAATTACTGGTATTGTTAATGATTTTACATTCTTAGAATCGGCCTTGGCCAAACCTAGTGGTAGAGGTTGGATACTCACGATCTGAAGCAAATCTTAAATGGAAAATGGTGAATTATTGACTTCGAGATGGGGGGCCTGTGATGCTATTGCGATAAAAATAGAGAAACCTATTCCACCAGCTACAATTCCATCTGTGATGACTGTAAGTAATTGACATGAAGGTTTGTTTCCTACTCAATTGTTATTGTTTTAGCACTGTTTGAATAATTTTATTCTTTAATAGGCTTGGCACTATTGTATAAATAATCAAACAGTTTCTGATGCATTAAACCCTATAATGGTATGTTATATTATTATGTACTTTTTAGAATAAAATTGAATCTGTAGCAAATGAATTTAAAGGTATTTTTTTATTTAGTATGAATTTAGAACAATTGATCGTCAAGGAATCTAAATTGTGGGCAATGTGTTATCAACATTCGATTGGAATGCATCTACCACCTGATTTTGTGATTTCATCATCTCATTTACCTAACCCCCATCACTATTGGTCTATATTATGCTCAGTTTGCCGTTTTAAATTGCAATTAATTAGACTACATTTTAATGGTAGATTTATCATATACTATTATGATAATTTATAATACTGCAGAAATTCTTTATCAATTTCTCTTTATACAAAAAAATTATAATTATAATTATTCCAAGAACTCTAGTTAAATATTGATGTTATATACATGTGAAAAAAAATTATTTACTTATCATAATAAAAACAAAATTATGCTTTTTAACAATATTTAATTCTGTTCCTTTGAGCAAATAATATATAACAAGAAGGGTGACTGGTAGATTATAAACTAATTTCGCTCAACACCTCTATTTTTTTTTTCACCAAAACTTTTAGTGAGAAAATAATTTAACGGTATCACAAAATAGTCTTGTGGAATAATCAAATAATCGCTATTTTTTGTTTTCTTTATGAAAAATAAATCTGGTTCTATCATTATATCAAACAAAAAATGATATACATATATATAGTTGATATAATAATAGGTCTAAACCCTAAATACACTACAAAACACATAATTGTTAAAACACACTATAATTACATAATCGCTATAAATAATAATCACTAAATATGTGTATATATTGGAAAGAGTTACTTATTATGTCAGGAGTTTCCCTATGGTCCTATTAATAAAGTTTCCTGAGCTGAAAAACCTTATGACTGTATTAGCATAATCAGTCAGTATAACATTAAAGATTTACGTAACTCAGGAACATTAGATGCATAAATGTTCGTGTAACTTCTTATTTGTTTGTTTACTATACAATAAGGAGTTATCTCTTAATTTATTAATAACGTGTATATATTATCTGAATTCGTGTTACATCCCGTCTATTTAATTTTTATTAGTTAATCATATTTATTTAACTTTATTTAGTAGAGATTAATGACGATTATCCCAGACCGGGCGGAATTGTCCAAACCGGGCGGAATCACCTAATTCGGGATAATATCTAAAGAACATGTATATAAAGAACTTGATTTCGACCTAATGTAAAAGTAACTTTGTCATAAGTTAATTAGTTTCGACTAAATAAAACTAAATAAATAAAAAGTAATATTTTATTTAAATAAACTTTTATCTTCTTTAACCAAAATTATTCACTAATACCAATCAATTCGTTGATCCCTATTCATTCTGATCCACACAAAATAAAAATAATTGTTATCACCAATTAAAAGAAACACTCTCCCCAAATTTAATCAGTGACAGTACTGAATTTGGAAGTGACAACCTTTGTTTTGAAAACCCACATCAGGAAGATATGTTTCTAAATGGAAGTGGAAGTCTAGAGATTGAAAGTAATGACAATTTTGAAAACAGAGTCAATCATTACTTAGAAAGTGAAGATTGTAATTTAGAAGATGGGAATAATGATG